GAACCACAAGAGCTCCATCACCTACTAGTACCCAAAGTAATCTTACTGTACCAAATCCCAATTATTAGATTTGGTTCTCTCAAGATTAATTGATCCAACAAGCAATGATGGCGTCGGTCGATCCTACTATTGCACCAACTGTTGCCGCAGCACCATCTGCTAACAAAGTGTGGGAATTCCTTCACACAGCTTACGCCAACAAAAGTCATACTCGCATCTTAGCTTGCGAGATCGATTGCAAAATATCAAGAAGACTTCTAAAACCATTGCAGAATACTTGCAGGAGGTTCGTTCTCGCTCTGATACCATATGAAGATTCAGATGAGAAGGTCAAAAAGATAATAGTATTAAATCTGGAAGCAAGCCTTTAAATACAAAATATACAACTAACTGGACCTAAAGTGCAGACCACTATCTACAACCAACTGAAGCTAACAACTACCAATTCCTAAATATGCTCCAACCATCAGGATACTATAACAACTAGTAAAAACGGATAAATAAAGATAGTTAATACTCCAAGAGGTAAAGGCGTACAAATTACCAGGTTTTGGTGGATTAAGAGGGCGAACTTTTGGAAGTGGAGGTGGAGGTGGGCTCAGTGCAGGTGGTATAGGAGGAGGAGGTGGAGGAGCAGATTTCCTAGAGGAAGCGGTAATGGTGCATGAGCATTTGCACTCATCTCAGGTTTTGACAGTTCCGCATTTTATGAGGATCAGCATCATTTTACAGCAAATGCACTCTTGACATTTAGAGAAGAACCTGACAATACAAATCATAAAAATTACTGAAATGTACTGAAAAAGAATGATACAATAAGATTAATTAGCCATCATGATAAATAACAGCAAATAGACACCTGCATTCAAATTCAGAGACGGTTTCCCATCCCTTTGCCAATCATTTGGAGCTATTTCTTTCCTTTTATTCTTAACCACAGAATATCAACAGAGGTAAAAAAGGCAATTCCTGCAACAGAACATCCAGCCACTGCAGAAATTAAATAATTTTGATGCTCCTGATTATTTCCTGGAGAATTAGGACCATTTTGTGGTTTATCTGGAGGATTAACAGGCAAAGGTTTAGAACAATTGGTATGAGTTCAAAGTTTTGGAGGCTTTGCAAGAGGTTTTAGAACTGGAGAAGGAGGTTGCACAGCTAGAGGAGAGCTAGTGGGCACTTCAATAGAAGGAACTGGAGCATAAACTAGTGATACAGTTGAAGCACCTAGAGATGGAGAGAGGGTGAGAACTGCTTTAGGACCTAGAGAGGGAGAGGAAGCAGGAGACTGAACAGTTGCGGGGATTGGAGATGGAGCGAGGGGTGGAACTGGAGCACGTTTTTTGGGCAAAAGTGGTTTCTTTCTTTTTCTCAGAGCCTGTTATTTTGGCAAAAATGGATTCTTTCTCTTTCTTAGGTACCTCCTGGGAACGCTTGACAATTGTGAAAAAAGCTCTTCGTACTTGCTAAACCAAGTACTGGATGCATCGTCACTTTCAGAAACATGAATTGGAACATTTTTCCTTCTTAAGCACTGCAATAAAATCTGCTTCTCTCGGGGAGGCAAATCTTCAATATCCTTTTGTAAGGTTCTTTTTCTCAACAAAGCTATATCCTGTTTTAAGTAACTATAACGAAATTGCTAATACTCATTGGAAAATAGTAATCAAGTATCAGCAAACAAATGCATAGACATGCCAATAACAACCATAGTTGACATATAAATTAGGCAACTCATATCTAAACACATTTTATGGATACACATTGCATTCATCTCCATATGCTCTGATGCCCAATTTTAGTATTATCATTTAAGTTATATTCAAAACACGTAAAAAATTATAAATTTGTTCATTTAGAATAATTTTAGAATGCAAACTTCAAAGTTGAAGTTACATATTATTGAAGTACATTCATTTTCGTCTGAATTTGAATCATATGAATAAACTGAACATTTTTGCTAAACTTTAGTCATATATAATTTAGGCACCACATACCTAAAATTATTCAAAAATAGATAAACTTTAGTTATATATTATTGAGATGTCCTCCGAGAAACATCTTTCAGAGCTAAAATTGTTCCATAAGATGGAACTATGGTGCATAACGAAAGTATTGAAGTGTGTGATCATCTCATTTAAAAGCTTAAGTTGTTAGAGAACACACTCTTAATATTTAATTATATTCTCAAAATCATCCCATACCTTTAAAGTCTGTCTTTTTTGCACTTTTGCACCTGAATGTCCATATAATCTTATTTCCATTAGCAAATAAACAAAAAAACTAAATGTGTTGTAACGTTCTTTGATGATTATGTTCTTGTGCAGGATCAGAGTATGGGATAGGTGATTGGAGAAGAACATGAGTCATATGGATTGTAACTGCTCTCTATCCCAACACCGCATGTTGCTTTTACTTCCGTTGATTCTTCTGTATTGCTCCATAGTCAAATTGGTCATCCAAGTCTCCTAAAATTGCAAAAGATGGTTGGAGTTTATCTAGTTTATCTTTGTTAGTATGTGAGTTGTGTCTGCTTGGTAAGCACACTCATGCCTCTTTCCTAAAACGCGTTGATAACAAGGCCACCTCTATGTTTGAAATCGTTCATTCAAATTATGGGGTCCAAATCGTTTTAGTTTTTCCTAAGGCTTTTATTCTTTTGTTACTTTTATTGATGATTATTCTCAGTGCACGTGGTTATTATTAAGGAAAAGTAGATTTGAACTATTCTCTATCTATAAGAAATTCAATGCTGAAATTCGCAATCAATTTGGTATTTCCATTAAGAAGTTAATCCATGATAATGCCCGAGAATACTTCTCTACTTCTCTCTCTTCTTTATTGTCATCCCATGACAAATGCAATTGTCTTCTTGTGCACAAACTCCTCAACAAAATAGAGTTGCTAAGCAAATGAACAGACATCTAACTGAAACAGCCCGAACAATGCTCATTCACACTCATGTCTTTTTACGTTTTTGGGGTGATGTCATAATAACTGCTTGTTATTTAATCAATCGCATGCCTTCATCTATTTTGGAGTACCAAAGTCCTCACTCAGTCCTCTATCCGGACCAAAATTTGTTTCAAATTCCTCCACATTTGTTTGGTTGCACCTGTTTCGTTCATAACCTTACCCCCGAAAAAGATAAACAAAGCACAAGGCCTTTAAATATGTCTTTCTCAGGTATTCTCGTCTACAAAAAGATACCAAATGCTTTGATCCCTCTACCAATAAGTACTTGATCTCTGCATATGTTACTTTTTTCGAGACTTCTCCATATTTTTCTCCTGATACGGAAAATGAAAAGGTCATAGAAGTCCTTCCAATTCCAACAAAGCACACTTTTATTATTTAATTATATTTTTAACAAACCCACTCACGTGAGGGCGAGCCTGATTTTTTCATTGGCCAAGCACGTGGAACTTCTTTTTTATTTTCCTGGTGGCGGTGAGATTCAATCTCAGGACCTCGGTATGCTCTGATACTGAATTAAAGTGTGTGACCATCTCATCTAAAAACTTAATTTGTTAGTGAAAGCACTTTTATTATTTAATTATTTTCTCAACAGAAACAATTTAGATATCTAATCTGAGTCTACCAGAGAAAGAGCCAAATCAGGAGGGCTGAAACGAAAGGAATCCTAGAATGGCTCCATGAAATAAAAACATAGTTCAAGATGGAATGATTGTATAACAAACTATTATATGACAGTAAATTGCATTTCTAAGATGCTCAACATGTTCATAAGATAAAGTTTCAAAGAACTGATACTAAAATAGATTTATGATCTTATAAAATTGACGACTCTTTTAGACACAAGTAAATTAGAAAATGTCAGAACTTATTACATCTAACAGAGTGCAGGTAGCACATATAGAAGAAAAAGTTAGATGGCTTCCCCATGTGTTAAGACCTCCAAAATGCACTGGTTTGTAGGTTTGACAACAAGATAACTAAGATTTTAGAGGTGCACTAAGTCACACGGAGAAAAATGGTTTCAATCCTTAAGTCCTTCGAAATTCATGTAGACTTGGTTATAAACAGAACACAATCAAACCAAAAAATCTGCATGAGTTATGCCAAACAGTTGAGATTAAACTAGACAGTAGAAACCATAGAGAGATGTGTGGGAGATTTAGGAAACCCCTAATTTTCTTTTAAGACCTAATCATTCAGTATAGGAATGCAATGGACCTCAACAAAATGAATGGATATTGAGAATTCATATAATAACTGACCTCAATGGTTTCAGAATTGAAATAATAGTTGATTGAGTGATGATAAATGCAAGTGTGTAGACATGCACACACATATAAAAGGTGTATGTGTGTGTGCATTCATGCGCTGCAGAATATCTTCACTAGGAAAGAATAGAGAATCAGCAGTTAAGGGAAACACCTAAGAAGCAGTGCTTGTAAGAAAATTTTCTTATCATAATTTAAGTTCTTTTAGATTTATAGCTGGACATAAAACCTCTAGGATTGGAGAACTGTCTAGACAGGAAACAACATTGCACACTATACCAAAGGAAATATCTAGAGGAAACTGTAACTAACCCACCCCCTCCCCAAATCAACTGGTATGATAAGCTGGCATGAACAACAATTGAGAACAAAGTGAATCAACACAAGCTGCAAAAACTGAGAATGATCGCATTTAAATATATTTCCATCTGGAATAGGAAATGACTTATTACAAAGGATGTACCAGAACGTCTCCAGACATTCCACTTCAGCTGTTCCTAAGCTTGCTTCCACTATACATGGCATTATATTGTAGGAATGTGTAGGCATTTCATTGCAACCCCTTTAAAGAGCCAATCACTCCATACCACACTAACATATATAAGAAGAGACACAACGGATATCATCCAAACCAGTTCACTAGTAAAACTAAATAAGCAATAAAATGTATTAATCAACCTGAAAAACTAAATCTACCTGCGGACTAAACATAAGTACATCAACGCGAGAAGAAATTGTCTTGAGAAACAAAATCCAAAACTCCACCAAAACAGTATCACAACTTGTAGCATCGAATAGAAACATGATCCATCAGCATCTAGTTACCTCTCATTGCATCAACCACCAATCCGTAATGCTCCGCAATCAAATCTAAACGCTTCACCATCAAGGCAGCTTCATCATCCTCCAGTTTCTTCCACTTCTCCTCCAGCAGTTTAGCCTTGTCAGGAGCAATCAAACTCATCTTCTCCTTCAAAAAACTTGTTCCATTCGGGTACATTGTAAACATGCCAGACATACTTTCAAATGATGCAGCCAAACGTGGATATTCGGACTGGAAATCCTGTGGATCACCCTTAACTATATCCTCCTTAATCACCTCTTTTACAGCAACCTGATTCTCTTCTTCCGTATGTTTCTCATCATCCTTGGGTTTGCTAACTTTAGAACTTCTCTTAGGTTCAGAACTCTTCTTAGCCTCAACAGTCTTTTTAGCTTTGCCATTAGTGCTATTGGTAACAATTTCCTTAACTCCATCACTAGTTTCAGGGGCACCCCAAATTCTCTTTGAATGCTCAAAAACTAAAAAATCCTGACCCTTCATGAAAACTGGTTCCTCACCACCTTTCGCATTAGTAAAAAATTTCTTCTTTAACCTCTTTAGCTTTTCACTGAGTTGACTCTTTGAAACCTCAACCAGCAACTTCCCTCTAATGAATTCATGAAAAGCTGACATATCCGCATTAGGTTCCATACATTTTACCGTCTTGTATTCAGCAACACCTTTGAGCAGAGCAAGCTGGTCGTCATCATTCCATAGACTGCGAGGAGTAGCAGCTGATTTTTTATCCTCTTCTTCTGCAGTTTTGGGCTTCTTCCTCCCTTTCTCTTTCTGGGCCTCTTGCGGCCTCTTTCCTGCTGGTTTCGATGGGGAAGAAGCTTTGGCAGAAACAATCGGCTTAATGGTGAAATCTGATACAGAAGGGGAAGGCGGGGAATGACCCGATTTCGCTTCCAATTCAGAACCTGACCCATTCTCGCTGCCAGACTCAGAAGAAAATTGGGGTTTCTGAGAGGTTTGGACTGGTTTCTTAGTGATGGGTCTCTTCACAACTGGAGGGACTATCGTAGGTTCTTCATCCTCTTCAGTTTCTTCCCCCGAATGCTGTTCTTCTTCTTCCTGGGATTCCTCCACCTCTTCTTGTTCTTCAGAGGACGATGCAGAAGGAGGCTGGTCTACTAAGCGGGATTTGGTTTTGGGGGCCATTGTTTCTGCAAGCAAGAAGGGAGAGCTATTCGGCCGTCAGCGGTGTCAATGGTGAGTGTTGAAGCAAAGACAAAACGATAGAAAGCTCTGTGTAGGGTTTTTATATGCCTTATATAATACCTTAAAAATATAAACTCCTGTTAAATTACTATAATATTTCTAATTCAAGTTGTGATTTTTTTTGATGAGTTGTGACTTTTTTCAAAGAATTGTGATTTTTTGATGAATTGTGGCTGTTCAAATAGTTGTGACTTTTCCAAATAGTTATGACTTTTCCAAATAGTTGTGACTTATTCAATAAGTTGTTACTTTTCAAAATGATTGTGAATTTTTGGAAAGGTCATGACTTTTCAGATAAAATACAAAAAATATTTGTTCATACTGTCCTTTGTGGACTATAAATAAAGGGGTTTCCTCTCATTTTCCAACCACAATTTTTTTTATTCTTCTACTCTTCTTCTTGCATTTTAAAAAATTTCGTGTGATTTATTGTCGTTGAGTGAGTTCAAAATTTCGCGGAATATGAGGTACCACTATTCTGATGAAGTAAATTGTTCTATCCTAAGAGGATATATTCATTAACCTCGAGTACTTGATAAAAATAATTCTGATGATATAATAATTATTTTGTTGCTTAATATATACATTAGTATGTAATGTTGATGTAGTCTAAATTTATTTGTTTTTATTAACAATTTCTCTTGTGACGTAGATATATGCTTATGAATAACTTTTTCAAAAATTAATAAGCTTTTCAAGAGTTAGAGAATTGTCACGATTTATTTTTTGATGCTCAATACAAAAGAATAATTTTATTTATCAATGCTACTTATGTGATTTAGATTTACAGGAAGTTTGCTTCAAAATATTTATTACTATATAAACATTGCCCTTTTGTTTAATTGATTTACTATTTCTTAATATTTAAGTATTTTTGACGAAACAAAGTTTATATGACTTGTAATAATGCCAATTGAAATTTTTATTAGTTTATTTTTTATTGTAATCTAAATTCATTTGTTTTTGTTAACATTTTCTCTTGTGATGTAGATGTATGCTTTTGAATATCTTTTTCCAAAATTATTAAACTTCTCATGATTTAGAGAATTGTCATAGTTTGTTTTGTTGATGCCCAAGACAAAAGAATGACTTTATTTATCAATGTTACTTATGTGATTTAGATTGTCAAGAAGTTTGCTTCAAAATAGTTATTACTATATAAACATTGCCTTTTTGTTTTATTGATTTATTATTTCTTAATATTTCAATATTTTCAACGAAGAAAAGTTCATATGACTTGTAATAACGTCAGTTGATGTTTGTATTGGTTTAATTTTTATTATAGTATAAATTCATTTATTTTTGTTAACAATTTCTCTTGTGATGTAGATATATGTTTTTGAATATCTTTTCCCAGAATTATTAAACTTCTCAAGAGTTAGAGAATTGTCACGATTTATTTTTTTATGCTCAAGACAAAAGAATGACTTTATTTATCAATGTTTCTTATGTGATTTCGATTGTCAGGAAGTTTGTTTCAAAATAGTTATTACTATGTAAACATTGCCCTTTTGTTTTACTAATTTACTATTTCTTAATATTTCGATATTTTCGACGAAGAAAAATTCATATGACTTCTAATAACACCAGTGGAAGTCTATATTAGTTCAATTTTTATTATTTATTTAATAGCTAATTTTTATGAGATATATATATATATATATATATATATATATATATTTGTGTAGGTATTTATATATGTCACGAATGTATTATCAAGTTAACAAGATCTTCTAACTTCAAAATATATTATTTTAAAATTTTCCGATACTTTTTTTTAACAAAAAAAAAAACTCACAACAAATGTGAAAATATGTGAATATATATGAATCATTAAAAATTTATCATTGTCAAAATAAATTTATATTTAGTAATATGGAATAAGCATTTTCATTTTGACCCTACAGTAAATTAAAATCTAATACCTATAAAAAAAGATAGTAACATTAATTAAAAATCCTATTTATTTATGTAAGTATAAAATTTATTTGAAATTCATGTATTTCACATTAATTCTTTAGTTATAACATTATAAACTCTCTTAATTATTACAAATTATTGCAAATGTTATTCACACTCTCTTATACTCTTTAGTTATAATATTATGAATTCTCATAGTTATTACATTAATTATTTCTATCGTTCATCTTTCCTTATATTTACTTTTGACCAATAGTTTTTCATATTATTATATTGTCCATGTTTGTGATAGCACGGTGTTATTATTTTTCCTTGGACTAATCATGCTTAGTTGAATAAATTGAAAATTGTTTACAAGTATATGGACTATATCTTTGTTGGGTTTAAGATAAACAAGCGATTATATATATGATTTCACAGATAAAATATATTCTTTGATTTTATTTTTTAGTTTTTTCGGTAGAAAAAAAAAAGGAAACCTTTCTCAGTTAACTATGGACAATCAAATAACTATATTTGATTTATGTACAGAGTCAATCGAGAAGTCAAATAAGAGATCCACCCAAAGAACGTCATCTATTATGTTATAGCTTATAAAATTAAAAATAATATACAAAAATAGTTCTAAAAAATAGAATGTAGTTGTTCTCCTCATGTTCATATGACATCTAAACAAATTAAGTGGAATACACGTGCAGATCTGGTAAGATGCCAAGAAAAATACACAACAAATATCGTCTATAAGGTAATATTAGTGAGATACAACTAATTACATGATTGTACCTCATAAAATTGAAATAAGTATATACATTATTGCATTTAACTAATAAAATTTTACATTGACCATTTTGATAGGTTCATGTGAATAAGAGATATATATAATAATCCATATTGAACATTCACAAAAGAATCTGCAATATTATTTTGTGCAAAACTTATTATTCAAATCTTCACTTAAATATTCTGAATTGATAATCACGTGCAACGCACGTGTCGAAAAACTAGTTTATACAAAAAACCAATGTCTTAACATATACTTACCATTATACGAATTGTATTTTTAACACATTAATGTTGAATATATGTTATTTGTAGAAAAAAAAACTTACATCCGTTCACTTTTAGTTATCAGTTATGAAAATAGATTTTCACTTTTAATTATTTTCTAAATGGGTGTGCCAAACACAAGTAAAAGTGAACTGAGGGACTAATATTCCTTCTTCATTATTTATTTAATTGTTTTGTTGTAATGTTTATGTGTTTTTTTTTTCTATTTTTATTATTTATATGTAAATAAAAATGTAAGTAATGCAGTCAAGTAAAAATGAATGGAGGGAGTAATATCCCTTCTTCATTATATATTTAATCATTTTGTTGTAATGTTTCCGTGTTTTTTTCTTTCTATTTCACTATTTATATGTAAATACAAATATAAGTAATGCAGTCAAGTTTAATAATTTTTATATAGCTTGATAATATTGAGAATAAATATACGAAATATAAAAAAAAACAAAATGGATAATTAAAAATTCAAATAAAAACATCTACCTAAGGTCAACAATTCTAAAAAAAATAATTAATTAAATGAATTTATTATAATATCATACAATTTTTAAAAAATATATATAAAAATATGAAAATTATTACTAATTTTGCATATAATTTTTTATTAGAAGAACAAACTTTTCTAGAGGAAAGACCACAGAAGTGCTTGAGCTCCCCTACCTTAATGTCATACATAAGAGAAGAATAGACCTTGTAAGAGAAAAATTCTACGTCAAATTTCAGCATCCACATTTCTTCTCTCTACCGTTCAACTCATCGAATTTTAGCATCCAAAAAAATCACGAAGGTACACTCAGTTTCTTTCCTTCCTATTTTTCTTTATTGTTTCCTTCCCGCAACCACCCCGTTTGCCATCCCTACCGCTTATCCGTTTGGAGTTTTTATTCTTTAGAATTAATCTATGATCTTGTGCTTGATGCTTCGGGTGGTGTTTCAAGTTAAAAGTGTTAAAAATACAATTCGTACAATTGGATAATTACTTTCCCCAATTTGGACATCTATTCCACATGAGTTTTATGTGGAATGGGAATAGTCGGAGGATGACTGAATAATCACGCCTTATTCATGATTCTTAATCGAAATAAATATTCTTTCAAAATGTGATTTGTCATTTTTAATCAAATCTATGTAAATTCGAAAAAAATATATCAAGTACTGAATACAGTGAGGAAACACCGTAACCTGAGACAACCCCTCAGTTGAAAAGAGACCTATTACTCAAAAACCAATTAAAACCCCACATAAACCCCAATCTTCATTAGAGTCCGGAATAAAAAAATGGGTCAAGATCTAAATCGGAAGCGGAATCAGGTCATTCCATGTCTTCCTCTTCTGCATCAAACTTCACAGACAAGTCGAGTGTTCCTGCAAAAGTTTTTGCCCCATCCAAATGAACAACAAAGAGGCCGCAAGAGACCTAGAAAGAGAGAGGGAGGAAGAAGCCCATGATTGCAAAAGAAGAGGAGAAAAAAAATCATTTGCTACTCCTCGTAGTCTATGGAGCGATGACGACTAACTTGCTCTACTCAAAGGTATTGTTGAATACAAGGCGGTGAAAGGTATGAAACATATTGTCAATATGTATGCTTTTCATGAATTCATAAGGGGGAAGTTGTTATAGGTTGAAGTTTCAAAGAGTCAACACGGTGACAAGGTAATGAGGTTAAAGAAGAAATTTTTGACTTGTGTGAAAGATGGTGAGGAGCTAGTTTTCACGAAGGGTCGGGATCTTTTAGTTTTTAAGCATTCAAAGAGGATTTGGGGTGCCCTTGGAACTAGTAATGGAGTTAAGGAGATTGTTACCAATAGCATTAATGGCAAAGCTAAAAACATTGTTGAGGTTATGAAAAGTTTTGAACCTAAGAAAAGTGGTGAGGAACTCGAGATAGTCCCTCATGTTAAAAAGAGACCAATTACTCAAAAATTAGTTCAAACCCTATAGAACCCTAATCTTCTTCTGATTTCGAAAGCGAAGATGGGTCAGGATCCGAATCCGTATCTGAAGCGGAATTAGGTCATTCCCTGCCTTCCTTTTCTTCATCAGACTTCACAATTAAGCCGCGTGCTGTTACAAAAGTTGTAGCCCCATTGAAACCAACATCAAAGAGGTTGCAAGAGACCCATAAAGAGAAAGGGAAGAAGAAGCCCAAGTTTGCAGAAGAAGTCGTATCAATAAGTAGAAAATTTTATAAAATTACTTACCATATTCTTAGATTATGTATATTTTGAATATGAATGTCTATTCCTTAAAAAAAAAAATTGGTCATTTATGTATCACTTGAATGAGCTTATTAATTTATATAGTTTGAACATTGAAGTAATGATATCATTTGATCATGCTGGGGAAATCCGACTCATTAAAATGTGGTCACACAAAACTCGGGCTAACCCTAGTTAATATCAAGGCACTACTAAAAAACTGTGAATACCGACCTCAAAACTACCGACCTCCAATGGAAGTCAGTAATTTCTGACTTCCGATGGGTCTCGGGGAAAAGACGTTCGGCTTAGCCTCCTACCTTGATTAGTGTAGTTAACGGGCTAAATGTGCCGTATAGAGTTTATAGGTTGAATTTCATTCTCTTTTAATTTGTAATAATAGCATTAACATTTACATTTAATAGAACCAATTGTTGCCAAATTTTAAAAATAGTCGTAGCTAAAAATATATATATATACAAATAACATATACAAGATATACATAAATACACAAATAAAATTATTTTGATATGTCTATATATTTTTAAATGATATTTGCTAATATTATTTTTCAAGTATTTGCATTATTTGTTATTGCAAATAAAATTATCTGGTATGTTAATATATGTTTAAGTTATGTATATTTGTTAACAAACCTTTTAAATTATTGTATTTTTTGTATTTTGGAAATAACATTGAATTTTGATGTGTCAATATATGTGAGTAATATTTGTTGATATTATTTATAAATTATTTTATTCGAACAAGACAAACAAATATTACTAAAAATAAATTCAATAACTCAATGAGACCTTTAATTTATGAATAGCTAAATTGTAAATTCCAATAGAAAACTGACAAAATTATAATATATTTTTTCTCAAATTTCTAAACTGAAATTAGGAAAAGGAGATTTAATTTTACACAACTACAAACTTATTTAGTGAAATTTTTGAAGTGGGATTTGGAGAGAATAAAATGTACACATTCTTATCTCTACCTTGTAAATGTAAAAAGAATGTTTCAGATATACCCCTAAATTAAATTAAACAAATCAAATATTTCAAAAAAATTATATAAAGAAACAAGTATTTACTTTCGCAAACTTGTCAATTCAGAGCTTAATTAACTATGTTGAATGTTGATTTATATGAGATTTGGAGAGTTTATAACTGTTGCTTAAATCTTCAATTTTAAATCTACATATTTTAATTTTTTTTCTTTTCAATTCCTCTATATAAATATATTAGGATAGATTGACAAATTTTTCATAGTCAATATCTTGGAGACATGGAGTTGATTGTATCAGTGGAACTACAAGTGATATTATTTATTTAAGTTCTTCGTCTTCTCGTAGATTGTATGATATTTGCTTTGATCTAATCCAATCTCTAAAACAAAATAGAACATTTATGGCATTGCTCTCCAATAAGTATATGTTATTTCTGAGCTGCTTTCTTTATTGGCTAATTAAATGTGATTTTTGATGCCACAGTTGGTATTAAAATATCTAACACAACTATAGTTATTGTTAACTGTACCAATTATAATCTTCTATTATTCCTCCATCAATTCAATGTGCTAATAAAGACGATGATGAAGTTGATACAAATATTGCCTATAAATATAATGAATCGAAGACTTCTATGAGGATTATAATTAAAAACTTTTCTTTGAGAATGAAATCATAATAAAGGTTATATTTTTATTTTATGCTTTTGATCATAAACTTCTTCTGTTGTCACATTAATCTGAATATATTGTGATGTTTGGTCATAGGATGAGGAAGCTTTTCTTCGATCATCTTTCCCTTGGTCTCCTGGTATATATTCAAACAAAGAATCCATCATCTCCTCATTAAACATGTAATAAAACTCAGCAATCAGAATGGTAAAAACAGAAACAGAAACAGTTAAACTCTCGCAGGAGCAAAGTGAATAGCAAGATCAGTGCAAAGCTTACTGGAACGAACCGGCTTTTATTTCATGCCAAACCATAGAGTGGTCAGGGTTAGCAAGAAACTTGTCCCAAAAGAATGGTTTTAATTTTGTTTTAGGAGCATCAGATTCACCCAATGAGTCACTTCTCCCGGTCTCTGAAGAACGTCCTCTCTGATGTGCTCCAAGAGGTAAAGGCTTTGGCAAATTACCAGGTTTTGGTGGAGGGCGAACTTTTGGAAGTGGAGGTGGGCTCAGAGAAGGTGGTTTAGGAGGAGGAGGAGGTGGAGGTGGAGGAACAGATTTCCTGGAGGAAGCGATAATGGTGCATTCATCTCAGGTTTTGACAGTTCCACGTCTGCTTCGGAAGATTTATGAGGATCAGCATCATTTACAGCAGATGCACTCTTGACATTTAGAGAAGAACCTGACAATACAAATTTATTGAAATGTAATGATACAATGAGATTAATTAACCATCATGATAAATAGCAGCAAATAGACACCTGCATTCAAATTCAGAGACGGTTTCCCATCCCTTTGCCCATCATGTGGAGCTATTTCTTTCCTTTTATTCTTAACCACAGAATATCAACAGAGCTGAAAAGGCAATTCCTGCAACAGAACATCCAGCCACTGCAGCAATTAAATAATTTCGATCCTAGGAACACTTGACAATTGTGAAAAAAGCTCTTCACTATCAGAGTTCTCACTCAGTCCTCTATCCGGACCAAAATTTGTTTTTCCCCTTCCTCCACGTTTGTTTGGTTGCACCTATTTTGTTCATAACCTTACCCCTGAAAAAGATAAACTTCAACACAAGGCCTTTAAATGTGTCCTTCTAGGGTATTCTCGTCTACAAAAAGGTTACAAATGCTTTGATCCCTCTACTAATAAGTACTTAACCTCTGCAGATGTTACTTTTTTCGAGACTTCTCCGTATTTTTCTCCTAATACGGAAATTAAGAAGGCCATAACAGTCCTTTCCATTCAATTATTCCAACCCACCTCCACCTCCAACTCTTAAGGTCTATTCCCGGTGACCTCAACCTCCTTATGAACTTGCTAATCCAGTTGGTATTTCTAACTCCTTATTATTTAATAATATTCTCAACACGCCCCCTCACATGCGTGTGGGCGGGCCTAATTTTTTCATGGGTCAAGCACGTGAAAAATCTTTTTGATTTTTGGGTGGTAGTGAGATTGAATCTCAGGACCTCTGCCTACACGGATACCATATTGAAATCTGTGACCATCTCATCTAAAAATTTAAGCTGTTAAAGAAAGCACACTCTTATCATTTAATTATATTCTCAACATAAACAATTTAGATATCTATTCTAAGTCTACCAGGAAAAAGGTACGACAGAGAGAGCCAAATAAGGAGGGCTGAAACGAATAGAATCCTAGAACGGTTCCATGCGATAAAAACATAGTTCAATGATTGTGTAACAGACCATTATACGGCAGTAAATTGCATTTCTAAGATGCTCAACATGTTCATAAGATAAAAGCTGTCAAAAAACCGATATTAAAACAGATTTATGAGCTTATAAAACCGGACAACCCTTTTAGACACAAGTAAATTGGAAATGTCAGTACTTATTACATCTAGCAGAGTGCAGGTAGCACATATAGAAGATAAAGTTAGATGGCTTCCCCATGTGTTAAGACCTCCAAAATGCACTGGTTTATAGGTTTGACAGCACAATAACTAAGATTTTTAAGAGGTGAACTAAGTCGCACGGAGAAAACATTTTCAATCCCTAAAGTCTTTTGAAATCCATGTAGACTTGGTTAATAACAGAAGACAATCAAACCAAGAGATCTACATGAGTTATGCCAAACAATTGAGATTAAACTAGTCAGTAGATACCATAGAGAGATGTGTAGGAGATTTAGGAAACCCCTAATTTGTCTTTTAAGACCTAATTATTCAGTATAGGAATGCAATGAACCTGAACAAAACGAATGGATATTGAGTATTCATATAATAACTGACCTCAATGGTTTCAGAATTGAAATATAGTTGATTGAATGTTGATAAATGCAAGCGTGTAGACATGCACACACATATAAAAGGTTCTGTGAGCATTCAAGCGCTGCAGAATATCTTCACTAGGAAAGAATAGAGAATAAGCAGTTAAAGGAAACACCTAAGTAGCAGTGCCTGTAAGAAAAAATTCTATCATAGTTTAAGTTCTTTTAGATTTATAGCAGGACTTAAACCTCTAGGATAGGACAACTGTCTAATTAGGAAACAACATTGCACTCTATATCAAAGGAAATATCTAGAGGAAACAGTAACTAACCCACCACCCCTTCCCCAAATCAATTAACTGGTATGATAAGCTGGCATGAACAACAATTGAGAACAAAGTGAATCAACACAAGCTGCAAAAACTGAGAAAGTAGCATTTAAATATATTTCCATCTGGAATAGGAAATGCCATATTAAAAAGGATGAACCAGAAGCAACACAGCGGATATCATCCAAACCAGTTCACTAGTAAAACTAAATAAGCAATAAAATGTATTAATCAACCTGATAAACTAAATCTTCCTCGCGGACTAAACATAAGTACATCAACACGAGAAGAAATTGTCTTGAGAAACAAGACTACATGAAACAAAATCTAAAACTCCACCGAAACAGTATCAGAACTTGTAGCACTGAATAAAACATGATCCATCAGCATCTAGTTACCTCTCATTGCATCAACCACCAATTTGTAATGCTCCGCAATCAAATCTAAGCGCTTCACCATCAAGGCAGCTTCGTCATCCTCCAGTTTCTTCCACTTCTCCTCCAACACTTTAGCCTTGTCAGTAGCAATCAAACTCATGTTCTCCTTCAAAAAACTTGTTCCATTCGGATACATTGTAGACATGCCAGCCATAGATGCAGCCAAACGTGGATATTTGGACTGGAAATCCTGTTGATCACCCTTAACTATATCCTCCTTAACCAACTCTTTTACAACAACCTGTTTTTCTTCTTCCTTATGTTTATGCAAAAGTTGTTGACCCATTGAAACCAGCAGCAAAGAGGCGGCAAGAAACCTAGAAAGAGAAAGGGAGGAAGAAGCCTGAGATTGCAGAAGAAGTTGTATCAATAAATAGAAGATTTAATAAAATTACTTACCATATTCTTAGATTACGTATATTTTGAATATAAATGTCTATTCCATAATTTTTATTGGTCATAAATGAAATTATTAATTCTTATAGTTCGAACATTGAAGTAAGGATATCATCCAGTCAAGCTGGGACAATCTGATTCACAAAAATGTGGTCACATTGTACTCGAGCTAACCGTAGCTAATGTTAAGGGGTGCGAATGGGGCTGGGGGAAAGGATGTTCGTCTTAGAATCATACCTTTGTTAGTGTAGTTAACGGGCTAAATGGGCCAGATTGGATTCACAGTTTGGATTTCCTGTTCTTTTAATTTATAATAGTAGCATTGACATTTACATTTAATAGAACCAGTTGTTTAGTTCTTGTCAAATTTTAAAAATGAGTCACTACTCAAAAAAAAATATATACATACAAATAACATATACAAGATATACATAAATAGCCCCCAACGACTAGCTCGAGTGGCAAAAGGTGGAGGATTTGTGGCTTAGGTCGCAGGTTCAAGCCCCACACCAAGCAAAGCGAAGCCTGGTATTTAAGTGGAGAAGGGTAGAGGGGCGGGCCCATTATCACCGAGTTTAGAAGGCTGTGATTGGTCCAAAGAGCGGGTCATAGATGAATTTCTCGGTTATCAAAACATATATATATATATATATATATATATATATATATATATATATATATATAAGTGGAGAAGGGTAGAGGAGCGGGCCCATTATCCACCGAGTTTAGAAGGCTGTGATTGGTCCAAAGGGCGGGTCATAGACGAATTTCTCGGTTATAAAAAAAAAGAAAGTAAAAATAAAATAAAATAAATAAAAATAAATATATATATATATATATAAAATCATTTTGATATGTCTATATATGTTTAAATAATATCTGTTAACATTATTTTCAAAATATTGTAGTGTTCGAATTTTGAAAGTAAAATTATTTATGTATGTTAATTCTTTTGGTCTAAACAAGATACATGTTTTGACCTTTTATATGTCAATATATGTTTAAGTAATATTTGTTAATATTATTTTTCAAGTATTATTATTTTGATATTGAAAATAAAATTGAACTTTGTATGTTAATATATGTTTAAGTTTATATTTGCTGGGGTTTGGTCGCCTGAGATTCCCGAGCCTCGTGATGGTGTTGGTTTTTGCACAACGCCTTTAGAATGAAAGATGACACAAATCAGCCCCAACTGTCGCCAAAATTTGACACGATGATTTGACGTTTCTCACCAATGCTCTAATATCATGTGAGAAATAGAATATTATTGAATTGTGTATCTACATTATTACACTGAGACTCTAGTTATAGACACTACATTAGACTCCTTTAACAATTAGGATTCCTATTCCTATTCTAAATAGGATTTTATTACTTATTCCTATTCTAACACTCGCTCTCAAGCTGGTGCATACAAATCATATGTGCCTAGCTTGTTTCAGATATAATTAATACGAAGATCGGTGAGGGACTTTGTGAAAATATCTACAAGCTAATCATTTGACTTCAAAATTTCATACCAATATCTCCTAAGAGTATCTTTTCTTTGACAAAGTGACAGTCAATCTCAATATACTTAGTCCTTCCATGAAACACTGGATTTGATGTGATATGAAGGGATGCTTGATTATCACACACAAGTTGCATCTAACTGATTTCGCCAAATTTTAGCTCTCTCAGCAACTGTTTGATCCAAACTAGCTCACAAGTTGTTGCAACCATTGCTCGATATTCTGATTCTGTACTAGATCGAGACCACACTTTGTTTCTTATTCTTCTACGACACCAAATTACCTCTTACTAAAACACAATATCCAGATGTCGAACGTCTATGAGAGGGTGATCCTGACCAATCAGCGTATGTATATCCAGTGATATGCTCATGGCCTTGATCCTCGAAGAGTAGTTCTTTACCAGGAGTAGATTTCATATATCGCAAAATACGAACAACTACATCCCATGACTATCACAAGGGGAAGTCATAAACTGACTTACAACACTCACAAGGAAAGAAATGGTAGGTCTAGTCACTGTAAGATAATTCAACTTTCCAACCAGTCGTTTATAACTTTCAGGATTACTAAGTGGCTCCCACTGTCCTAGAAGGAATTTAACATTTGGATCCATATGAGTGTCAATGGGTCTACATCCCATCATTTCGGCTTTTCAAGAATGTCTACGACATACTTGTATTGAGAAATAACAATACCTAATCTAGACTGAGCAATCTCAAAACCTAAAAAATAGTTCAATCTGCCTAACATCTATCTCGTACTGTGGTCCTGCAAGAGAGAAAAATCATCAAAAAATGTTATGCCACAATGTAGGGCACGTGTCAAACGACTAACAGATGCCAGATTAAAAGAGAACCAGGGATATAAAGAACATAGTCGAGAGTGACAAAAGATAGGAGTTCAGCTTTTGAAACCCTTTTTGGTTTTGTTTGGATCCCATTGGCTAAAGTAATAAGAGGAAGAGATTGTGAATAAATAATATCAGACAAAAGTGATTTGGTACCAGAAATATGATCTGAAGCGCCCGAGTCCATTACCCTTAATCCAAGAGAACTAGATTGTGAAACACAAGCAAAAGAATTATCCACAACAGAAAGATTAGGTTGAGCAACCGAAGCCACTAGCGGAGGTGTCTGCTTACTTGCTCGATATTGAAAGAACGCATTATATTTTGTCTGAGCAATATGAGCATTATTGGATGGTCGATCAAGCTAAGCAACAAATGATACTTGTGGAGATGTGTGCTTACCTGCTCAATTTTGAAAGAGCTCATTATATTCCTTGAGAGTAATGGGATCATAGCTGGGTGGTGGACCATGCAAAGTATAACTTATGTCATGAGTGTGTCCAAGTTCATGAAAATAACTACACTAGGATCAATGTTTCCCAAAACGTTCTCCTCCTCGCCGATTGTCCATACACTAATATGTTCATTTTTCTATGGTTTGAGATGCGAGAATAGAGGAGTCAACAGTGGGTGATTAAACTACTTTGTGACTAGGAGACGCAACAAGACGAAGTAGACAAGGGAATAATTCATCAATTGTAGGAACGATAGGACTAGCTAGAATCTGGTCACGCACAGAATTGTGGTCCGTAGGGAGTCCAGCAAGTGTAAGATATAGAAATAATGTATGTCTATGCTCTTGCTGCTTTTCCACGTTTGTAGTGACTAGCCTCAACGTTTCAAATTCCTCCATGATTGCTTGTACCTGTCCCAAGTAAGTAGACATATCAGATTCTTGTTTCTTTAAGTTGGTCATTCAAGATATCACATCATAGATCTAGATATGTCATTAGTGTATAAAGCACGTGCTTTTTCCCAATCAGATTCTTGTTTCTTTAAGTTGGTCATTCAAGATATCACATCATAGATCTAGATATGTCATTAGTGTATAAAGCACGTGCTTTTTCCCAAACTGAATAACATGTCTCGAATGGGTGAAACAAGGGAATCAACTTTGAAACAATAGAGAGTCATACTGCATAATTGATCATCCATGTTCTCCCATTATGCTTTGACTTTTGCATCTTCATCACTAGATTGTCTTTCCATCTACCACACAAGCATTGTTTGTTAAGTGATCTTGAACACCTTGACCCCTGCACCACGACTCAACTAAGGAAGCCCAAGCCAAATAGTTTGAACTTACCATTAAGGGTTCTAAAGTAGTTATAGGGCTTGAACTTCCAATACCCATATTTTTTAAGCCAGAAACATCACACCCAAAAGGCATTTTTCTAAATTTGACTTAAAAATAGTAAGATTTGCTGGAAACTGCTAGAGTTTGCCTATAGTGCCTGTAAGTTCTAAAAAATTCCGATTTCGCTGGGAGCTTGCCAGAAACAACCTGGAAATCGCCAGAAAACCTAATTCCAGTTATCAGATCCGGAGAAAACTGGATGGGTTTTGATCGGAAATACTGGATGACCCCAACAGAAGAAAAACAACTCGAAATAAATGACCGGAGCAGCCCTCCGCGCTAGTGCGTGATTCAGATTGCGCCGGAAAACTTCCACCTTCAAACGGCATGTGAGAATGCGTGAGGGGTTGTTTTCCGATGGTTTTGGCTGGGGTTTGGTCGCTTGAGCTTCTCGAGCCTCGTGATGGTGTTGATTTTCGCACAACACCTTTAGAACAAAAGATGACACAAATCAGCCTCAACTGTCGCCGGAATTTGACACGCTGACTTAAAGTTTCTCACCAATGCTCTAATACCATGTGAGAAATAGAATTTACTGAATTGTGTATATACATTATAACATTGAGACTCTATTTATAGACACTACATTAGACTCTTTCAACGATTAGATTCTTATTCCTTTTCCTATTTGTATTCCTATTCTAAGGAGGATTGTATTACTTATTCCTATTCTAACAAGAACAAAATGAATCAAATCATACGTATAGTGTATACATGATACCAACTAGTCGGGATCATATTGATGTTATATTTACTCAGGTGGTTGCCAAGAGCCTATTAGTTTTATTAGAGACATAGATATCACGTAGGGTCAATGTGAGACGGACGGTCCTCTAGTATTAGATAATCCAAAAACCGTCCTTTAGGATAAAATATTAAGTACTGGAGTGAAATGGACCAAAATGGAATTTCTAACAGGATTCATAAAGCCACCATAAGGGGGGGAGAGAGAGAGAGAGAGAGATTTACCCTCCTCGAGAGCATCATAAACTTCTTCTGTTGTCACATTTAAGACTTTGAGGAGAATTGCTA